TCAAAAGTCATAGTTAATAGTTAGTTAATAGTGAGAATTGGTCCCCAAACTAAAGTGTAAACTATTCTTCTTTCAGGATTCTTCACTTTGTGTATCAGCATGCAAAATATTGAATTCAATTGAATTCAGAGAAGTAGGAGAGATGAGGTCACGACACACTTTTCAAAATTGTGCTATTTCAGTAAAATAATACCTAAAAAAAAAAAAATTTATTGTACCAAAATGTTGAGAAACAAGGCTAAATGTAAACTTTCAACGCATTCATTTTACTTTCATGTTTAAATACAATGTACACAAATTAATTTTTGTTTAACTGAGTTGGTGACATAAAAAAAAATCAAAAATAAGATGTCAAATAAATAAATAAATGCCAGAAAAGCTAAGTGCATTAGTTACTGGGTTAATCTTTATCACGTTTCCTTGGTTGGTAGATGCACCGGGGACCTGATTATAGCACTTAAAACCTGGAAAAGTCAGATTTTCATGTCACCTTTAAATGAATATACTGCAAACTGAATATAATGCTTTCTGATGCTTAACTGCATGTTAGTTACAAAAAAATAAAATTCTGTCATCATGCCAGAATGTCGGTCTCTGTTTTGGTTTGTGAAACCCAGTTGGCATTAAACAGAGCGTATTTCATTTCATTCATCTTCAAGTGCACTCGTTCCTGTTGGTGTCGTCAATCTGGCAACCTGCGTGTGCGTCAAGTCTGAGGAGGAGGTGCCAGGTGAAAAAACCCTCTAGAATATTTTGAATGTGGACTGCAATACCTAATCCAACCACTCGGTGTCAATCCTACATACAGCACCTTTAAAGGAGACATATTATGCCCCTTTTTACAATATGTATTTAAATGAATATACTGCAAACTGAATATAATGCTTTCTGATGCTTAACTGCATGTTAGTTACAAAAAAATAAAATTCTGTCATCATTTACTCACCCTCATGTCATTCCAAACCTGTCTGAATTTCTTTCTTCTGCTGAACACAAAATAAAATATTTTGAAGAATGTGGATTACCAAACAGTTTTGGGTCCCATTGGAAGGTAAATATATTCTCTGACTTACATACAGGCATTTGAATACTTACATATTTAATTGCCATAATTGAATATGGCAACAGTCTAAATTCAAATTGAATGATTTCACTCAAATGCTTGTAATGCACATCTAATTCATGGAATTATTGAATAATAGGGTCAAATATGGGACTTCATTCATTCATTCATTCAAGAATGCATTATTAAACCCCTTTTCATTAAACATTGTCAATTGAATAAGGTCAATTTAAGTTGTTTAATGTTGTTAATAATAATAATAATAATGTGCAATATTTTATTTAACAATAACCACAGCTGGTGAATGAAAAGGACATTTTCTTCTGTTTTAATTCATTTATGGTAGTGTCAGTTAGGTTTTTATATTACTATGTTTCTGCATTTCTCATTCCCTCACAACTTGCTTCAGTAAAATAGATTCCATGATCTGGAAACTGTGAGGTCACATCACAACAGACGACTGTGTGAATCAAGCGTTCACTGAAAGGCCAGAGTGTAGTGGGAGGCTTTCAAGCATCAAACACTAATGTGAGTACATGACAGCAAGTTATCTTTAAAAAGCTGATCTGACCAGTAATTGGCCCCATTACAAACACGAGCTTCTTTTAAGCATGTTAATATGCACAATTATTATTAAAGGTGGGGTAAGCAATTTTTCAAAAACGCTTTAGAAAACTGATTCAGGCCGACTAGCAAAACAAACTTGTAGCCAATCAGCAGTAAGGGGCATGTCTACTCATGATGTGGTGTTAAAGGCAGGGTAAGCGATTTTTCAAAAACGCTTTAGAAAACTGATTCGGGCCGAATAGCAAAACAAACTTTTAGCCAATCAGCAGTAAGGGGCGTGTCTACTCATGATGTGGAGGAGAGTGTTCAGTGCACAGGACGGACATTAGCCGAGCCGAGCGACAGAAAGATAGAGATGGCAGATAAAAAAGTCTGCGGAACAAAAGAAGGCTTAAGGTAAGAAGTAGGACCCGTGTAAATATCGGATCAGCTTTCCAGTGCTGGAGAGAACTCAAGGAGCGGAAGGCCTGCGATCAGACGCCGAGGTTGCTTTGTTTCTTCTCGATAACACCGTGTAAAACACCGCCGCAACAGCTAAAGTATGTCTAGTACAGTGGATCTTTTGGGGTAGGGGAGTGTTTGTTTTGGTGATTTCAAATGTTAACATTGGCTACCAGAAATCGCTTACCCCACCTTTAAGTATTAGTATTTATAAAACACATATTAATGCCTTATTCTGCATGACCATATTTTAGATCCCTTAATCCTCCCTCATATCTAAACTTAACTATCTTACTAATAAGCAGCAAATTCGAAGTTTATTGAGTCAAAAGTCATAGTTAATAGTTAGTTAATAGTGAGAACTGGTAAACTTTATTTTAAGGTCCAATTCTCACTATTAACAAAACATTAACTATGACTTTTGCTGCTTTTTAATA